GTATAAAAATAGACTTTTTATTTATGACTCTGACCTTTGAACTTTTGACCTGAAATTAATTAGGATCTTTGTTAGGCCACTGTTAATGTGTAAAATTTTGCAAAGTTCAAAAGCTTCTTGAGGTATCGCATGGAAACGAAAACGTTACAAACAGAACAGTAGACGGACGGTTAGCAAGGTGGAGGGACACAAAAAATTGAAATTCATATCCCAAATTTCAGCGGGGTACAAAAATTGCAGAAGCTGTTTATTCGCCAAGCGCTTGGCACATTTAAGTGATAGATGCGGATCTTTTTGATAAGACACTAGAAACCTCATGTCACGACAGGCGTTGTAAAACTTCAAATTCTAAGATTAATATTTCTCGAGTATGAGAGAGGAAAAATAAACTATAAATCTTTTACATTTTAGATAAGCATAAACTAAAAAAAATCTATAGTCAACAAAAGTTGTTTAATTAACTGAAACTGTATATTAAAAAAAAATTGCGTCTTAGCCTACTTTTTTCCTATCTACTGATTTCTAGAATAATGCTCATGTTCATATAAATGCTATTTAACTGGTACCTGCTGATCCAATTTACTTATATTTAAAATACTTCATAAATCTTCTAACTGTTCAATAATTTGAAAATCTTATTTATTATCAAATAAAATAAATTTGATGTTTTTATTTATAATTGAAATATACTCTTTATCATATTTTTTTCAATATATAAAATACGAATGATTGCAAATAACATGTGATATATATATATAAAAAAAAGTCTTCATATTTGAATATCTGTTTCCTAAGTGGAGGTTTGTGAAAATAATGGTTGTCAGAGTGGGACGTGTATAGTAGACAGGTGCAACAAACGAGGGTACAGGTGCAGCCGTTTTCCTGGTTATAGCGGGGACAATTGCGAAGGTAAACTTTCTACTTCTTATAATGTATAAGAACGTGTCTTTTTGATATCAAATCATGAGATATTTAAACCAAAAAACAATCAAACATTTTATTGCAAATCAGAACAAAAATAAAAGTAACATTATTACGTTTAGAATAAGAATCGCCTGTATACAGACTTAATTAGCATTGCCGCCTCCCATCTCTCCTAGTTGTTTTGTATAATGAATCCTGTCTAAAACCATCATCCCCACTTATGTTTTTTTTTCCTTCAGAATTATACAGCATTAATAATGTCCCCTGACAATTTATTTAGCAATCTTCATTTCTTCATTAAAATGCATGTCTGTTGTTATTCTATTAATTATAGGAAAGGTAACGTCTTTAGGTTTGATTCCCAATCAACATATATTAGTTCTTTCTGTAAGGAAGAGGCTATGTCCCTAGGCACGTCTAACCATCGTCGTGGTCCTCTTGACATATCTCCCGGACTCCACTGTCGGATGCCAAGGATGAATCCAGTCCAGCTGACCCCAGAGACCGTTAAGGAGAGCCACATAACAGTCGTTGAACCACCATCCGCAGTCCTCAACGGCGGCACAGTTTCCATCCTTAAATTGGTCATTGTCTTGATCAGGAGTGCTGAAGTACATGAGGGAAAGGTCAGCTGTAGGAATCCCGGTGTTTAACATAGCATCACCTACAGAGTTAAAAAAAAAAAATATCAGTGCCGATGTATATTGTAAACTGATCAGATGTACTTGTAGATATCAAGGGATCTTACAAAGCATCGCCTACATGGTTAAAAAAATATATATGTACGGATGTACATAGTGAAAAGGTCATATGTAGGTATCCAATGTATTTGACATAGCATCACCTACAGATTTAAATAATAAAAGTGAGGCACATTGTGAACTGTTCAGATATCCAAGTATCTAACAAGGCATTGCCTACAGATGTAAATAATACAAGCTAATTCAGAGAATTCGTGTCCCCCGCTCAGGGAAAAAGTCGGCTCCCCCTGACTGAATTTGTAGAATTATTAAATGTATACATGTATACTGAAGCAAATAAAATACATGTATGTCAATATATGCATATAAAGATTTGATTGCTTACTCTTTATTATGTGTATAGAAGATTTTTTTATATGTAATGTTTATCACACTGTAATGATGATTTTATAACCTCATAAATTTTTCATTTCACATGCTGAATACTATCATTTAGTTTAAAAAAAAAAAAAGAAGGACCGACAGAGATTCGATCTCGGGACCTCTCACATTTGAAGCGAGAGACATAACCACTAGACCACGGAATCGCTTTACTCGGGGCGAAGAATATGCAGAACTGAAGTCACATACATGTATATATTCATGTTTTCATGTTCGGTATTCTCAAAATTTTACACAATCCATGGTGTTTGATTTATTTAGCCTTTATTAAACAGTTCTAATAGATGTAATAAGAACATAAAGTCCGCCGAGAACCTGTTTTATACGTTTTATACGCAATAACTCTCCTCATGCCCCTGCGCTAAAAATAGCGACATGTAATATAAAACAAACGGGGCGGGGCACTTTGAGAGGGGCGAGACACGTCCTAGGGAGTTTTGGTATAAAATTACATTGCATAAGCTCAAAATCTTCTTGAAATATCGCCCGGAAATGATAGTATTGCACACAGACATAATGTATAAAGTTACGACCTTGAACTTTGACCTTTTGACCTCAAAATCAATAGGGGTCTTCATTAGGCCACAGGGAGTTGTTATATAAAATTTCATTGCAATAGCTCAAATGGTTCTAGAGATATCGTGTGGAAACGAAAGTGTTTTAACAGACAGAATTTGCTTATTTATGACCTTGAACTTTGACCTTTTGACCTCAAAATCAATAGGGGTCTTCATTAGGCCACAGGGAGTTGTTATATAAAATTTCATTGCAATAGCTCAAATGGTTCTAGAGATATCGTGTGGAAACGAAAGTGTTTTAACAGACAGAATTTGCTTATTTATGACCTTGACCTTTGACCTTTTGACCTCAAAATCAATAGGGGTCTTCTTTAGTCCATAGGGAGTTGCTATGTTAAATTTCATTGCAAAAGCTCAAAGGGTTCTCGAGATGTCGTGTGGAAACGAAAGCGTTACAGACAGAAAGAAAGACGGACGGACGGACGGACAGACGGACGGACGGACGGACGGACGGACAAACCCAAATTAATATCCCCCACTTTTCAAGCGGGGGACAAAAAGTGAGGCACGTTGTGAACTGTTCAGATGTACGAGGGGTGATCAAAAAGTTCGCGAACTATCTCTATATTTACAAAACAGAATGAAATTTGGCACACATAAAGCCATACAAATGTTCTATATGTAGCACATGTAACGCAACGTTTTTCTATGTGTTTGTGACGTTACAATGTGAAAATGACGTCATAAGGTAGATAACTTGTGACAAAAAATAGTTGACTCCGTCGTAATCAAGAAACGAATGGCTGTAAAGTTACGTAACGTATAGCTTGGAAATTCCTATGTAGAAACTTATAACAATTTGTATACGGTTTATGAAGACAAAAGATTTGCCATAAGTTTTTTCATTAATTGGATTGGTTGTTTAAGTGAAGGAAGAGAGATGTTTAAATATGATGTCTGTACTGTCGCCCAGTGAAAGCAAACTGGGAGAGAGACGTATCCGTTGTTAAGCAATTTGATATGTAAAATCGCCAACTTACAGTTAGAAAACTAAATAATATCTTTACAATAAATATGATTATCGAATCCCTAAAATATCGTTTTAATTAGACTTTAAACATATCAGATATGATAAAGTGAAGGCACCCATACTTTATCCACATGAAATAAACGACCCCCAAAGGACAGAGAACTTGGGTTTTGATGGTCACCATGCTCATTCTGCAAAAGGATATCATTATCCAACCATACTATTTCAGAGCCATTTCTGATAAGTAGACTTTTTGTTGAAAAAAAATAACCTGCATGGTAAGAAATATGAGTTGGAAAAACTTGCAAGATTCTGTGACAGAACGCTAAGGAGCATGTCACGTGACCGCCTATATCTCGTGATCAGCGCATGGACAGAATGGTTGCAGATGCGCATAAAAATCGGAGAGGACTACTTTAAAACATTTTCAACACTGAATCCCTATGTCATTATACCCCCCGCTTGAAAAGTGGGGGTATATAGTAATCGGTATTTCCGTCCGTCCGTCTGTCCGTCCGTCTGTTACGCTTTGGGGTACCCATCTCTTATCCGCAACTCCTCTCATACCACTGAATGAAATTTGATGAAACTTTCACAGAATCTTTATTACATGTTGCCATTGTGCACCTCCTATTTTACTTTTTGATCCGACACATATTTTGGGTTTCCCGGCCACAGGAAAACATGGACTTTTTCACCAGTTATAACCATATGGGAGGCGGGGGGTATCATTTAGTGAGCTCATCGCTCACAGTACCTCTAGTTTCTTTTTTGGAAGTTATTCAATTAGTTCGCGAACTTTTTGATCACCCCTCGTACATATAGGTATCAAAGTATCAAAGAAGGCATTGCCTACAGAGTTAAAGCAAAGTAATACAAAACACGCACTAAAACGTGTCTGAGTGATTGAATGTCTAAAGTATACCTTACTAAATTCATTTCCTTGTTTTAGACCTAAAATCTTGTTTTCAGAACATTGCTTTTAGCTTTGTCCGTTCGACAAACATTACAAGCTTTGCAAGGTTTTCGCATGTTAGAAGATGTTTTGGAAGGTTCAATTACGTTTTCAGAAATTGATATTTTCCATACCCGACATTTTTTTTTGGTAGTACATGTATAATCTTATAAAACTTGTGTCGTATCATCTTTTAAGATTTTTTTTCTTTATACAAGACACCACGATAGTATCACTTAAAGAAATTGTCTTTTAAATATATTTTAAAAACAGAAATAATAGTACAAAAATAAAAAAAAAAATGAAGAAAAGAATATAAAAAATAATTACACTAATTCCTTTTTTACTCGTTCTATCATTCTTTCTCTCACTTGTTCGCTTATTCGTTCTATCACTTTTCACTCTTTTACTATACTTATGGGATACCTAGAGTTCCTGTTGCACTTCCCGCCAGACGAAGTTGATATTTGTTGAATTCGTGATCAACGAAGAATCGATCATAAAGCTCATATAATGTGGTGCCATTCACAAGTGTGATTGATATATAAAGAGAGGATGTGTGTCCTTTAGTCAGCTGGTGGATTACGTCATTTCCTGTTCGGAAAATATTTAAAATGAATTAATAGGTGTGCGGCAATAAAAGTATATGTAATTATGATCATTACGTCTTATTCAATTATAGCTGAAATTCTCTTCATTCTTAATGAAGTCATTAGCAACAATGTTTAATTAAAAATACGTGATATATATCGTCAGCAAATCATATTAAAATGAACAATAAATATACCACGTGGCTTATATAAGAGTTGATCAAACTTTAATATTTACCGATCCAGGTGTTCTTTTCTGGAGCACCGAAACCATTTTTAAAATCCACCCACCGTTTATTAAAGCGTAGGGATCCGTCGATTCTCTTTTGGATTGTCTGTAAATGATAACGTCTCCATTTCTTAAGTATTTTGGCTGATTTTTTAGGTATATATTTAATGCTATATATTCAAATTTCTTTTTCTAAGTAGATAAAAGGTCATTTGCAAAATTTTTTTTTCTTATTTTAGTCGTCACGATAGCTCAGTCGGTAGAACGCTCGATCAGTGATTGGAAGGTTGGAAGTTCGTATCTCGGCCATAACAGGCCTAAGTCGGCAAAATAGATAGTAGCAACTGTTTCTTCGCCGTCATGCGCTTGCTAGGTACTATGAAGTGTACATTGTAAGTTACGGGTCCTTCGAATGAAACCTTTAAAACTCTACATCATGGCGTTGGCATGACAAATATCTCTTAATGCTCAATGGCCTTCAGTGCCGAGTAAAGTTCAAAATTTTAAGTCCTTCATCGGTATATGGCGGTGTGTCTATACGAGAAAATTCTCTGATGGGACGTAAAACAACATGCATTGAAACAACCTTATTCTGATTTCTTTTCAATCGATAATATCAAAGTATAAAATATAACAAAGAAACATTATCTAATTTTGAATTATATCTTTCTAGATATGTGATTCATATTTTTACTTTATCCAGCATCAAAATGCATTCGCTGATCGGGAGGCCCGGGTTCGATTCTCGTTCGCGGCGCCGCGTCAAACCTAAGACGTCTAAATAGGTAGTGACTGTTCTTTCGCCAAGCGCTCGGCATCAGAGGTGAAAGTCAGGGTCTTTCGGATATGATCTTAACCAGAAGTCTTTGTCGAGACTGAAGCTCTACTGGTTTGTACTTATAGCAAAGGGAAGAGAAAAGTACTTAAGCAGTTGGAAATTGAAACTTTTCAACAGCAATAAATAGAATAATGATCCTTGATTAAGTCTCTTTATGTTCTTAGTGCAGTCTACTTGCATGCCACATTTATATTATAATCAAACTAAAATTGTATTTGGAGTAGCATTTTGAAAGAATTTCACAGAAATTTCTATTTTTAGTAACCACGGCAACACCGTTCATCTAAATCAAAAACCGATACACAGAATTATGTATCTTAGTGTAGTCTACTTTTGTGCCAAGTTATATTGAAATCAGACTAAAACTGTAGGAGGAGTAGCATTTTGAAAGAATTTCACAGAAATTTCTATTTTTAGTAACCACGGCAACACCGTTCAACGAAATCAAAAACCGATACACAGAATTGTGTATCTTAGTGTAGTCTACTTGTGTGCCAAGTTATATTGAAATCAGACTAAAACTGTAGGAGGAGTAGCATTTTGAAAGAATTTCACAGAAATTTCTATTTTTAGTAACCACGGCAACACCGTTCATCGAAATCAAAAACCGATACACAGAATTATGTATCTTAGTGTAGTCTACTTGTGTGCCAAGTTATATTGAAATCAGACTAAAACTGTAGGAGGAGTAGCATTTTGAAAGAATTTCACAGAAATTTCTATTTTTAGTAACCACGGCAACACCGTTCATCGAAATCAAAAACCGATACACAGAATTGTGTATCTTAGTGTAGTCTACTTGTGTGCCAAGTTATATTGAAATCAGACTAAAACTGTAAGAGGAGTAGCATTTTGAAAGAATTTCACAGAAATTTCTATTTTTAGTAACCACGGCAATACCGTTCATCGAAATCAAAAACCGATACACAGAATTGTGTATCTTAGTGTAGTCTACTTGTGTGCGAAGTTATATTGAAATCAGACTTAAACTGTAGGAGGAGTAGCATTTTGAAAGAATTTCACAGAAATTTCTATTTTTAGTAACCACGGCAACACCGTTTATCGAAATCAAAAACCGATGCACAGAATTATGTATCTTAGTGTAGTCTACTTTTGTGCCAAGTTATATTGAAATCAGACTAAAACTGTAGGAGGAGTAGCATTTTGAAAGAATTTCATAAAATTTTTATTTTTAGTAACCACGGCAACATCGTTCAACGAAATCAAAAACCGATACACAGAATTGTGTATCTTAATGTAGTCTACTTGTGTGCCAAATTATATTGAAATCAGATTAAAACTGTAGGAGGAGTAGCATTTTGAAAGAATTTCACAGAAATTTCTATCTTTAGTAACCACGGCAACACCGTTCATAGAAATCAAAAACCGATGCACAGAATTATGTATCTTAGTGTAGTCTGATTTTGTGCCAAGTTATATTGAAATTAGAAAACTGTAGGAGGAGTAGCATTTTGAAAGAATTTCACAGAAATTTCTATTTTTAGTAACCACGGCAACACCGTTCATCTAAATCAAAAACCGATACACAGAATTATGTATCTTAGTGTAGTCTACTTGTGTGCCAAGTTATACTGAAATCAGACCAAAACTGTAGGAGGAGTAGCATTTTGAAAAATTGTTTACAGACAGACAGACAGACGGACGGACGACGGATGCATTACTATCGCATAAGCTCTTCTGGTCTTTGACCAGTAGAGCTAAAAACGTAGGTCCCGTGTCACGGTAGGCGCTGGCACGATAAAGAACCCTCACTGCTCAATGGCTCTGGGTGCCGAGTATAAGTCTAAATTTGAAGCCCTTCACCGGCATACGGTGACGTCTCCATATGAGTGAAAAAATCTCAAGAGGGACGTTAAACAATATGCAATCAATCAATCAAAATGCATTCGCTTGTTCTCAAAATGATAACAAAATTCTGCATATTCTTCCTTTAGAAAATCTGAAGCGGAGTTTTATTTCAATGATACTAACATGTTCCCTTGTGCGTTTAAAAGATCTATAATCACCTAGGGTAAAGTCATTAATAATGTAGCATCACACAATATAAAAAATCTTTTGTATAAAGTACGTATGAAGTACGTTCCCTTTATTCTTTGTACAAGTAGTAATAAAAATAGGCATAACCATTTCACACCTGAATCGACTATACTACATCATATGCTTACTTTGAAAGTTGTTAAAATCGTAAATTTCGTGTCTAAGGTAAAGTTCTTGTAAACATAACATGCATTAAGTCAAACAATATACCGTAAGGAAATCGATCCTTTATATAGCATATACTCCCATTTTGAAACTTACACAAAAACCAGAAGTCTCTGTCGAGACTGTAGCTCTACTGGTTTCTACTTTAAACAAAGAAAAGTGGCAGCTGGGACCTGAAACTTCACAACAGCAATAAATAGAATAATGATCATGTATCTCATGATCAGTGTACATTAATACTTGCAGGCCACATTATACACGTACTATAAGCAGACTAAAACTGTATTTGGAATTGCATTTTTTAAGTATTTCACAGAAATTGTTAATGTTAGTAAATATGGCAACACCTTTCTTCAAAATCAGAAGTTGATAAACAGAATTATGTATCTTAGTGTAGTCTACTTGTGTGCCAAGTTATATTGAAATCAGAGCAAAACTGTAGGAGAAATAGCATTTTGAATGAATTTCACGGAAATTTCTATTTTAATTAAACATGCAAACACCGTTCATCGAAATCGAAAACCGATACACAGAATTATGTATCTTAGTGTAGTCTACCTGTGTGTCAAGTTATATTGAAATCAGACCAAAACTGTAGGAGGAGTAGCATTTTGAAAGTTTTTCAAGGAAATTTCTTTTTTTAATAACCATTGCAACGCCGTTCATCGAAACCAGAAACCGATTAACAGAATTATGTATCTTACTGTAGTCTACTTGTGTGCCAAGTTACATTGAAATCAGACTAAAACTGTAGGAAGAGTAGCATTTTGAATGTTTTCCACGGAAATTTCTATTTTTAATAACCACAGCAGCACCGTTCATCGAAACCAGAAACCGATATATAGAATTATGCATCTTTAGTGTAGTCTACTTGTGTGCCAAGTTATATTGAAATCAGACTAAAACTGCAGGAAGAGTAGCATTTTGAATGTTTTCCACGGACATTTCTATTTTTAATAACCACAGCAGCACCGTTCATCGAAACCAGAAACCGATATATAGAATTATGTATCTTAGTGTAGTCTACTTGTGTGCCAAGTTATATTGAAATCAGACCAAAACTGTAGGAGGAGTAGCATTTTGAAAGAATTTCACATAAATTTCTATTTTTTGTAACAACGGCAACACCGGTCATCGAAATCAAAAACCGATACACGGAATTATGTATCTTAGTGTAGTCTACTTGTGTGCCAAGTTATATTGAAAATAGACCAAAACTAGGAGGAGTAGCATTTTGAAAAATTGTTTAGACAGACAGACGGACGGACGACGGACGCATTACTATTGCATAAGCTCTTCTGGTCTCTGACCAGTAGAGCTAATAACTACATACCGTCCACCCTCCTCCCATAGTTTGCATGTCGCAATAAACTCGGATAGGACGAAAGTTGTTCTGAAAGGGATGGATTCCGTACACTCCCGAGATATTGTAACCATTATCACGAAGGTCTTGACAGTCGGTAGGAAGAACTGACAAAAGAAAAAAAAAATGTGTGTAAATAAGCTTAAGACATCAGTCGTTTAAAATCAATCAATCAGTTTATTCGCTCAAACCATACAATATAGTACATAAGGATCATAAAGTATTTATCGTACCTATTTAATCGTCATGGGTAGATCTAACATACCTGTACATGTTAACATAGATAAGTATCAAGTATGTTAACTGAATGTAAAAAGGTGAGACATATAGTAATAGCACGGTGTTTGTGTTCAATGCAAAGAAAAACAACACCATTATGACAACGTTATAAAAGGGATAAGACTGTTTCAAAGATTTTTTTACAAATCTTAAAGATTTCCTAAGGATTTAATATTTGAATCTGCCATGAGTTCATAGAACTTTATAACATTTGGTTTTCTGCAGTAACTCATGTTAAAAAAATGCTTTTTTCTGAAAAAAATTGTACGTTCTAAAATGCAGTGGAATTCATCATCCATTTCTTCTATCTTTTCATCATAAATATACCGGTACTCTTTCATATAGGTGGGTGTAACAACATCTCCCTGTTCTATTGGTAGATTGTGATTTGAAGAAGGCAGTTTCATTATTCATTTCTTTTCTTCTCAGGTTTAAATTTCAATATAGTCTTCAAATCCGCAAAAAATTTGTTAATCTGGCATTAAGAAAAATATTTACGTCATTTAACCATTTTTGATTAAACTGGGATTTTAAAATCTGATTTACTTAGCTTTTATCCGTTTTATACTGATCAAGTTTTGCTCGTGCTGTATACCGGGTATTTATGAAAGTCCACACTTACTTAAAATCATTTAGATGCATTGTTTGTTTTCAACCTATACGTCTACATTTTAGAAGACAATGGTCAATTGATGGAATTTCGTTTTCTTTTAAATTATATAAAACCTATTTGAATGATATACGAGGATTTTCCGGTAAAATCGTGGACAAGTTGTTAAGTGTGAAATAATTATCACTGCGCTCTGAAATTTCCCTACTTTTTAGTTCACATTTTCGGATTAAAAATAGCAAATTTCAAATAGATATTTGCATAAATAAACAAATTTTAAGATTTTATGTTATGTACTTGTATCGCCTTACGGCGCACTGGTGATAACGTCAAAGTGTCTAAAACAGCGTCACGTTTAATCTTTGCGCTATAAAAGTTGGATAAGTCACTTAAATTAAGTAATTTAATTGTTGCACATACTTTTGTCTCCATAAACAGCTGAGGGACCAATGTACCACCAACATGCAATCTTATGAGGATTTATTAGTAAGTTACGGACAATATTCTCACCATCATTCAACTAATAGACAAGCTTCTTCTTTGACCGTCAACAGAGACAGTGTCTTTTGCTATTACAATAGCAGTTTGTCCGTATGTTTCGTACTATATGGGGACTTTATAAAGAACACCTTCACTACGAAAACTCCAATTTTATTTCTATACTAAAGATGTAGCAATTCTTTGTTATTTTTTTTCTTCTATATTCATTTAAAGTCTCTTAAAGTGTTATTACAACATCTAAATCAAACTAAACTGCTATCCGGTCCGCCGGTACGTTATCTAACGTCGTCATTTTTCGTATAATGGGTTTACGACTTTCCCATTTCGAATGCTCAAGAAACTGCCAGAAATTAACCAAATGCCTTCAATATTTTAAGTAGACAACAAAATAAATCGTGGAATCGAATAAGGATAATTTTTACCCCAATCCTATCTATTTAAATCTTTATTTCGAATAAATACTCATGTATTCTCTAATAAAACCTTCGTTTTTTGACCGTGCGCCGTAGAACCATACCCTGAGCACATTCAAGCATTATTAAATCTTTATTTTTGTCTATATTTTATCCAAAAAAAAAATCATGACGTACTTCATTATGATAAATAAACATTTACTGTAAATTTCAGCTTAGTGCGCTAATTTTTTGAGAAAAACACTTTGTCCACGATTTTACCGGACAATCCTCGTACATTACATTAAAAAGTCTTGTACATCTTAACTGAACACTCCTCTGTTGTGTACAATCTTAGTATTATTTTAATATTAGTTTATGTTAAACAATCGAATAGTGTTCAGTGATAGTGGTATCATTTTAAAAATTACCAATGCCTGTGTTATAGGATTTGAATGTCAAAATTTACTAAACCAATACCAGATAAGTGGATGTGAAATGTAATTTGCAGAATTGCAACTAAAGTCGTATTTAATTTATTTGGAAATTTTTTTCTGTGTAAACAATATTAAAGTAGCACCCAAGAGAAATAAAATAAAAGTTAAGAAATAAAGGTAACAAATTGTTGTCAAAAAAGGTGTATACCTGTGCATAAGTCGCCGACATAACCATTGATACAATTACATGTGTAATTACGTATTGCTGATAGGTCTGCTTCACAGGAACCACCATTATCACAATTATGATTGGCACAGGCATTGACTATAGAAATAAATAATAGTATATACATTGCCCACTGAAGTATGTTCAACAATTTTCATTCTGTTGCATAGCTTTAATTTTTCAGGTTCGTTGGAACACGGTTTTGTGTATTCTAATAGGAGTTAAAACATTGTTACCCTATTTTTTTTTTTTCATTCGTGAAGAATGTTATTTCGTGAATGATGGTTGTCCAAGAATTGCTCGAAAAATGAGCTACTGTCAAAAACAATATGATTCCATAATATATTATAAAGTCTTATAAATAGAGTTAAGTAGATATGTCCATAATTAGAAAACAATATATTTCATACAATACTGATATTATTGAAGATCACATAATGTTAACATTTTGGAAGGCGTTTTAGCAACCGCTAATGATATAACGCCTCTAAATGATACAAATATCATTAAGCGTTGCAACACTTAGTGCTATAAATCATTGCATTAATAATTGACTTGCTCATCCATTTAATGATATAATTCTTTCATCAAGCGGCAATTTAACATTAGTGGTTGAAAGGGTTTACCATTAATACAATAATTTATGGCATTAAGCGTAGCAGTTGCAATGCTTAGTGATATTTGTATCATTAAAGCCGCGTTATGTCGTTAGTGGTGGCTACAAGGTGTTCAAGAACATTTCAAAGACTTATGTTGCCTATTGTACCTTCACAGCTTTCTCCAATGTAACCAGTATTACAGTAACACTTGTATCCTCGTTTACTGGACTTGTCTGCCTGACAAGTGGCTCCATTTTGGCAATTATTGTTGTCACATGCATGAACTACATAGAAAAATGGTTACTACATAGAAAAATACCTCTTTTATAATACTTATCTATAGAATATTCTTATTACCTACAAAATGCCAACTTGAACCATAGCTTATACATAAGAAAAATTGTTGACGTAAATGAAGCTATTTGTTTTTACCTTATGCATTGTAAGAGTTTACCTTCACAGTACTTCCCGACGTAATCCTTCATACAGATACATGTATATCCCTGATCATTACTTGGGTCTTCCTGGCATGTTCCTTTCAGACAATTATGGTCGTCACATGCGTTATCTATATATATAAAAAAAACTAATAAATAAGCCTATGCAGTTTGTGTTTGCAAAATATTTATTAGTAATTTTTTCCCAAAAGGTCTCTCGGATGAGACTTTAAAAACCGAGGTCCTCTGTCACGGCAAGCGTTGGCACGATAAAAGAACCTAACTGCTAAATGGCCCTGAGTGCCTAGTAAAAGTCAAAATTTGAGGCCTTTCACCGGTGTATTTTGATGTCTCTACATGAGTGAAAACTTCTCGAATGGGACCTAAACAACCGACAATCAATCAACAAGCATATAAATATCAAAATCCCATATTTGTACTCTAAACTTATTAAGATTATAAAGCATAGCCCTTTTAAATAGATTTTTTCTTAAAATATCAAATTACAGTTGAGGATCATATCTTTAATAAATTTAACAACAGCATCAAAGCGGAGTATCCCCTCGCAAAGATCGTATCGATAAGTGAAGATATATTTGAAACTACAGTGAACAGAATAGTGCGTGGTGTAATCTGGGAACAGAAATTTAAATCTGCCTCAAATGGAATCAACAGTGATCAGCCAATCCAAAAATTACATCTGGTTCCAATTTGTTTTTCAAGATTTAAAACATTTAAAGGTATCGGAATGTTACAACACCTTAAATCAACACATGTGTCTCAATTATATTTTGAGGTATGATTGCACCGTTGATAAATTGGATATTTTTTGTTAAAAAGTCGTATCATTATCTTTGATTCAGTAGGAGTGAAATGTATTACATGTACATGTGAAAACAGAGTTTGAGACGGGAGTATTAAAAACAGTAAGAGTTTTTGGCAGAAATCAAAGAAATATTTCCTTAAATAAATAAATCATATTTATGAAAGTATTAATTTCAATTAAATGTGATATGGATAAGAGGAAAAATAAATACCTCTATCTTTCATTATTTTAATTTGTAATGTAAATTGTTTTAGAGATCGTATTTTTCCTACTCCATTTTTGTAGTGTTTAATGGACTTTTGAGCTGGAATCCTCTTCGTTATTTTCCTATATTTTATACTGATTCTTAGACAATTGAAGCACATGAATATATATCATGCATTAAAGACTGTTCAAAATGTTAATCGAAACGGCTCAATCAGCAGAATAATAAGCTTCAAAAATATTGAGAAATTTGTTAAACTTTCTACGATGCGAGAAATTCCACCTTTATACAACCACTCTAATTAATCTACACATCTCTTTGTCGCTGAGAACCAAGTTATTCTAATATAAATAAATTAGTGAACAATTCAGCGTCTGACCTTTTTGGTGAATCGTCAGAACTACAGTTAACCCTGTTAAGGTACCGGCCAGACAAACTCCAACAACCATTGTAAAACTCTTGGCTTTACCTGCTGGACCAGCATAACTCATTCCTAATCAGAAAATATACAAAAAT